ATCCTGAACTTAGGCGACAACCTGCTGTTTTATGTGCGGACTAATAGCAGCCAGTTTACTGAAAATCATGAACTGAAAATCATGACTATTTAAAATTCTGTTGTTGAATAAAAGTCTAACTTTACCAGGGCTTGAAAGGAAACCATTTAAAAAACAATCCACTGAGCTCTTCGGGGATGTTTCAGTCTTTAACTGTAACAATAAATGATGACATTCATCTCCCTTTCCTTTGATAATGTGTCCTGCTCAAACACGAGGAGATCTAGACATTTAAGATCTAAGAGCTGTGTTTTCTCTCAAAAGGTTAAAAATGTGTTTATAAGATATTTCTTTTGTCTGACAGTAATGTTAATCAGGTGAAACTACAGCTACAATTCCTCTCATCGGCAATATAGTGTTGCAAAAAAACAAAACAAAACAACAGCTAAATCCTAGTGTGACTGTAACAAAGTAGTCGAACTTCAACATGTGTACAAGGAGGACCTGGCTACACGCTGCCTGTGTTGTTCTCCATCTACACCTTTGTGCAGTAACATCTCAAACATCTCATCTCCTGTTCTATGGCTCATTTAGTGCTGAGTAGAGTTACAGTGTGGGAGCTTAGACAGAGACCTGTGCTCTTTTTAGCTCTCCCAGCAGTCTTTGGTGGGCAGATCTTTGCTGTCTGAACAACATTTCCGCTCAGTCAGGCGATGGTCAGAGTTGTGCGTTTTAGCCCAGCTTATGGTTCAATTTGCATCTGTTTTTTTAAGTTTATCATCGGGCTGAAAAGACACAAAATAGAAATGATAGCTACCTTAATAACTCCTTTCTTTTTTTTGTAGGTGAGAAGAACAGCAACCTCCAACATGACAACATGATGATTGAAGCAATTTGTTTCAGGATGCTGAAGCCGAGCAGTGATAGGGTTGACCAATAAATAAGCCTGTTACATTGCTACGAACATAGAATCAAATGCTGGGTTTAGAGTCGACACAAACTTCTACTTTCTAATGGAATGACTAATTTACATTGACATTTGAATAACCTTGTGAAAAATCAAACAAAACACTCAATTTATACAACAGGTGTGTAATTGCCATCATCTAAATCTGCCTAAATCTAAAGAATGCAGAGGCTGGTCTTGGTGGCAAAAATGTACAAACAATATCATGTCCTATATGTCACTAATGCAAGTGTAAACAAATCCTCAAGTGTAATCACTAGGACATTTGTTTGTGTATCTGAGACCTCGGTCTGGTTGTCAAGCGGATTCTCTCTCCGGCCGAGCCGGTTGTGAATGATGAGTCATCCAAAGTAGGAGTTTGATATTCCACATAGCACTCCATTTAAAACTCACTGAGACTTGTGCTGCTGCGAGGTCACACACACACACACACACACACACACACACACACACACACACACACGTAGACTCACACACAGACAAACCCTCACACTTATCGATCAAAGTTGGAGGTGCAGCCGCTATTTTCATTCATCCGGCGTCTCCCCTGGCTCCTGCTATCGATTCTATTTCACCGGGTGTTTAATTCACAGCCAGAGTATACGCCTGCCACAGCCTCCGCTTCCAACACCACTCTCAATGTTTATCGACCATATAGTACCACTGCGACCGCACTCAGTGCTTGTATTTTGACTGTGGCCGTTTTATTGCCACGCTCATAACCTTTCAATATTCATGCTTATGTTTTTAATGCCGCGTAGTGAATAACCTTTATCTTCAAAGGGTAATTTTTCAATGAGAATTTACAGTGGATGCACTTTTTGGACCTGAAGAGGATTTCTTCTTGCAAAGTTTTTTCATGTAAAGAAATCCTTGCAAACTCCAGCTGAAGGCTATTGCACACATGTAATACAAATTAAAACACAGGAATCGTGACGGCACTCAAAAGGTAAAGCTGTGTGTATTGATGTGTAAAATGTCCGTGTGCGAGTGTGTGTGTGCGTGTGTGTGTGTGTGCGTGTGTGTGTGTGTGTGTGTGTGTGTGTGTGTGTGTGAGACAGAGAAAGCTTTGTAAGTCATCCCGAAATCACGTGCAGCTTATTTCCTCCTTATCCTGTATGACTGAGAAGTCTTGTGATTATAGTCACTTGTTATGGTTCCTCTATCTCTCTCTCTCTCTCTCTCTCTCTCTCCTTTTTTTTCTTTCCCTGTTACATGGGAAAATAATCTAAAGGAACTACAAGGACAAGGCCTGTAAGTAAAGAGAAACGACAGTATCGCTCTCTCTGCAGCTTGTTGCCTTAGAGACCAGCAGAGAGTAAGAGATAAATCTGTGAAATCTTCTGATCTTCTCTGTATATATATATATATATATATATATATATACTGTATGTGTGTGTGTGTGTGTGTGTGTGTGTGTGAGTGTGTGTGTGTGTGTCAGACTTTGTCCTCCAGGAAGTGGTTGGTCAGCTGCTTGTTGAGGATCTGCAGCTTCATCAGTGAGCACGAACAGAGTTTAGATTCTCAGCAGACGTTTCCTCTGATACACGATATTATTCATATTAATAATGTAAATGCAGTTATTTACTCTACATTTTACTCAACTACCTAAACCTCTGTACATTTACTGTACTTATACTATCTGTACTTAAAGCGGACTTAATCAATAGTTTTCTTGTAAAAATGTATGAAGTGACAAAGTGTTGTGTTGTTCAGGTACTCTGTTCACTACCTGTTCAGGTACTCTGTTCACTACCTGTTCAGGTACTCTGTAC